TCCTTGGGTTTCCATATACAGCAATTCCACATTTTTGGGTGCAGTTTAAAATATAATTGAAATTAAATATATACTTTGGAGGCCGTGGACCATGACTTGTTCAAGGTGTTTACAAAATGTCAAGACAGTGGCTTGGGCAGGTAAAGGTCTCATAACAGCGATGAATACAGAGACTCAAGTTGACTTGATTAACGTACATTTCCTCTGTGTGAGAATTTTTGGATGGGGATTATATCGAGACAGCGTAGCTTGCTGGTCTGGTTGGTTGAAGGACATAGTGAAAAACAGCGCAAAAAAAGACGGGACACAAAGTAGAAGACGGACACAAGACATATGCTAACTAATAACCGTTTACTGGAAGTTCCACGCGTGTGGAAGTTCCAGTGAACCTTCGGTTGTTAGCGTTTGTCCTATGCCCGTCTTCTACTTTTTGTCCCGTCTTTTCTTAACTGTTTTTTACTATATTATATCGAGACTTTTGATCATTTTAAAGGTTAACATTTTACATAAATCTATTTGGTTGAGGGAACAATAACTAAAGAAGGACGACGATCGGTGACCTTTATTTTCTGGGTCGCCGAACGCTTTATTTGGCATCGCTTTCGAATCATCAAAAGATTTGCACTTTTTGGTTCTCATGAAAGTCTCAAGAAATTCGCTTTAATCGACACTTGCACGTCCTATATAAGTCGGAAATGCGTATATCAAAATATACGTTACCTTCGTAATCAGACTTGGTCATTTAGAATTGCTAAAGGTCTCTTCTTAGCAGAGCGACAAGCAACAAACAAAAACATATTCGCAAATAAAAAGTACGGTTAAATATTGTTCCTGTCGCTATTGGTGACGTGTGCGATCGAAAGCGTCGCTTTGGTTTGCTGGCCACGATTGGCCGAATGGTGAGCAAAGGATTTCTCATCGATGGAAATAAAAGGGATGTAAAAACTTGAATATTGACGGTGTTGGCAGCGTTGCTTTAAGTGTGCAATGTTTACAAACACCATCGAACTTGTTCGCAAGGTAATGGCATCTTGAGAGAGAATCATAGGAGGGCTCCACCCAAAGATGTCACCGCTAATAAAGTACGTTTGGATTTGCCTCGAACTATGGCTTTAAGGTGTGATGTCACGTGGCTTGCAAGTGACGGTATTGCACCATGCCGGTGGCTATTTCTACTTGTCCTTTCCGAGAAAAAAGAATTCCATGGTGCCAAATGCATGCTACGTAAGTTGCTCTGAAGTCTGAACAATATGCTGCAGGAGGAGGGGGGGGGGGGGGCGGAATTAACAGAGTTTTGATGAATCCATGCTTTGAAGTGACGGCACGAGCCCCCGTTAGCAACGCGAAGCTCTATACACGGTCTACTGAAGGCCGGTTCAGACACCTGCGTTTGAGTGAGTGCGTTTGACTGCGTTGCGTCGAGAACCGAAAGCAAGTCGCCGGCACATCCGTCCTTCGTATGAAACGTGCAATCCAATTCAAGTAATCATCTTGGCACGCGATATAAGTAGCAGGGATGTCCTGGTCTCTTGTAGCCGCAACGCAGTCAAACGCAGTCAAACGCAACTGTCTGAGCCAGGCTTTAGAGTCTGCATTACGTGTGAACCAGTCTCCCTTAGGGGGTTTTCGTAGATCGTTTTCGCCGTCCCGCAACGCTCTCCGCAACCCGCTACCATACCCGGAACTCTACAGTCAAGCAGACTTGGACGTAGTTCAACTACTCTACTCAAACTACTGTAGTTTAACTACTTTTTCGAGTAACTTGGTAACTTTCAATTACAACTTGATTTGGGTAATTAGTAGTTTAATTTAACTACTTTTTTAGGTAACTTCTACTCAAATTACTAACTACTTTCGAAATTATATAGTGCTAATTTTGCCCATCACGAAAGTTTGAGCGCAGAAATGAATAAACCGCCGGCAGATGAAGTGGCATTCCCGAACAAGGGGCCCCCTTGTTCGGAAAGGCGTCCTTGGGCCAAGATGGCGACAAGCAGCCAAAACATAACACCGGCACGCACGAACGCAGGAAGAGATGCTGAACAAGCCTTGGTCGGGTATTGACCTAATCCGGTAATGCACGCAGGCGCCGCGTTTCCAGCTGCAACCGTGAAAGACGGGTGCACTCTGAGAGTTGTTGTTGTTTTCGTGTTGTCTGTCTTTAGTGAGTTCTGACTCAAGCGGTAGGTTCCACGGGAGGCGCCACTGGATTGACCTCGCAGCTGGGCGCCTTGTCGTCAGCGCATACGCCTTTGCAAAGCCGGACTCCCCCGCGCACAAACCCTGGTACGGATAATCCGTTCATGGGAGCACGTTCCCGCTTCCAGCTGCAACTGTATACACGAACTCAACTCTCCTACGTCACGCCGCGGTGGTGGCGTGACGTAGGAGAGTTGATTGCATACGCAGTGCCAAAGACGCTTATATTGGCGAGAAACGCTTCCAGTACGATGATGCTCCATGGTGATCTTCGCGCGACTGATTCAGAACGATCATCTGGAAGCTTCAAGATTTGAATGGACCGATATGGCGATTTCCATGGTAACGTAGACAGATCGTTTTGCGTGGTTTTGATCGTCTGTATGATATATAGTATCTGTTCGGGTCCGGCTAGCAGGTAGGGAAGGTAATGATGCTACTTTCCCAAGATCTAGTGACTTTACTATTAATGTGAGCTCATTTTGAGAGTGCCGCTCATGAGCAATACAGTAAAGACTCCCTATATCTCCGGGGACAACTTTCTATGGCAATGAATTCAAAGGAACGGAAGTCCGTATACTTTAGCGCCAATTAAAGCCGGGCACGCGCATTCTCCCTCTCGCCGCAAATATGGCACAGGAAGTTGTCCCCGGTTTTGCGTATAATAACGTTGTCACCAGAAACATCGTCAGTCTGAATATCTCAACTGTGCCAGGATTTTGTTTCGGGGGGAGGGGGGCGGGGGGCACCCATAACAAAATGCTGTATGAGGGGGAGGGGGAGAGGAGGTCCCAGCAAAATGGAAGATTTCGGGCCCCCTGGCTACGTGCCTGGCTCGAAGTGATTTGATTTTTGTTTTTGTATTTGAATCCCTCGATATGCTTTATTTTGTCGCGAATGTTATACCCAGTAGATAATTGACAGAAACGCAGCCGGAGTTGTACACACATGGTAGCCACCCAATCCGGGACAAGCTCGCAGATTGCTGCAGCGGTTCTTGAACCTCATTTGAATTGCGGTTCACTATATAGACCAACAGGCGGCTCTGATGTCACGCAGTTGTGGTGGCGCTGCTGTCGGCACGGCGCATGCGCAAATGCTTTACCTCAGGCGAAATGGGTTTCTGCCCACTCGCAGTGCCCATAGGTGGTGTGGGCAAAGTGTGACCTGTTTGAAAAGAGCATATGCCCACGATATTTAGATTCGCGAGGCGAATAAAGTGCACATGGTTATTTGCTTACTCACCTCGTTTCTTTATTACGGGCCTTTTTGTCACTCCTAACCTCTCATCTAGCAGGATATATGTTTTCTCTCTACACGAAACCACCACAGGGTGAACAGTACAGCGCACAAGAAGACAAAGGCCAGAGAAGAGGAACATGCACGACACAAGACGCCTTCCTTTTTTGCTGTCCTTGTCTTTCCTTACGCTGTACCGTTCACCATGTCATCGTACCAACTCGCCCAGCTTAACACGCATCTACAGGTAGGTATACACTTGGGGGCACTGTTAGCGCGAACAAGCAATCATTAGTTTTCGTTGTCTTGGGGTACTCATCTAAGTGGTAAAGTTTGATGCTCGCCAGTTAACCCTTTCGAAGTAAAATTCGAAAGGGCGCCGAACTCCTGTTCACGCTAACAGTGTCGCGCAGTGCCCATAGTAGATAAATTTCGTGTCTCGTAGAACATGTATCCATTTGTAAACGTCAGTACCCCCAGAAGCACTTTTGTTTCGTCTACTGTCTGGGGCGCCTCAAACTGAACTGAACGTCCACAGACTCCTTTTGTCTTCCCAGTACGTACATTGAGTGCCGATAAAACGAAGAACTGTTGGCCCGTGAACATAAACACACACACACACAGACGCGCTACGTCGTCCTAACACGCAGGGTGCTGAAAAAAACCTTTCAGCAACGCATTTTCCGACTCGCGTAGAAAGGTTGTCGCTGCCAACAAGTCACCCTCAAGCCCGTCGATAAGGGAGAGAGCGCCGCGCGGTGCGTGCACAGACAAAAAAAAAAAAAAAAAGAAAGCGGCCAGCATCCAAATTAGATTGTCTCCGAGAGCGCGCGGCGCCCACCCAACCCCGTCACCCTCGCTGGAGCATTCGTTTAGCGGCAAGCGCGTCCCACGAAGCGCAGAAACAATCTTCTCCAAAGAGCGTCAGGTGTTACCCGAATCCAACGCCCGTCGGCGGGCTCCTTCTTTTGAAAGCCGACAAGACGGCTTTTAGGCTCGCCTCACATCCGATTTGGGAGCCGCCGCAGCCTCCCCTGTCAGGACTCGTTCCGTATTAAACCCTAGATCAACCCGGACGCCGACAGGCCATAATCAAAACTGCGCATTCTTATTCATTATCGGAAAACCCGACACAAAGGGACTGCTTCTTCTCTTCGACCAAAGATAGACTCTGCTATTGTTGAGAGCCCCGAACCAAAACGACTGAATACAGCACAATCCATCCCGTTCCCTCGTGCCTTCCGCGCCGTCTTCCTTCCTTCCCTGCTCCCCTCTGCCCCCCCTCCTCCTTCCCTCCCTTCCCACCGCTCCCCTTCTAAGCGTGACAGAACTCCACCCTGCCCCGAGTGCCGTTCCCCTATTGGTCGCGTCTGCCGACCCGAATGGGCCAATGGAACAGGGCCCCCTTCTTGGGCATCGATCCGTGAGAGGCGTCGGGTAACCACCGAGCCAATCACGGCGCTTCATTCCAGTTTGGCCCAAACCCGGTAATCTTTTTTCGCGGGGTCCTCGGCTCGTTTCGCGGGGCCCCACAAGGTAGACACTCGCGAACACGAGCAACCATGCGCTCGTCAACAGACGTGACATCCGGGCAACTCTCGAGTTTTCGGACGCCCGACCCCAGTGCTGGCAGTGGAGCCTCGCTGTTTGCGGCGCCGCCTTCGTTCGTTGAATACCAGCGACTCCAACTTTTCGACTACGGTCCCGCGGCTAGTAGACTCCGGATTGTTCAGCCGGGACTCCTGGGCGCCTACGCCGCCGCCGGGTTCGGACCCTATCCCGCGCCGGGAACCGAAACCCTCTTTGGCTTCCCTCCTTTCTTCAGGTTCGATCCCAGGTCCCGGTTCGTGCAAGAGGAGCCCAAGCCTCAGCACAGCTACATCGGACTCATCGCCATGGCCATTCTCAGTTCGGTGGAAAAAAAGATGGTGCTGAGTGACATCTACCAGTACATCCTCGACAACTACCCCTACTTCAGGAACAGGGGTCCCGGATGGAGGAACTCCATCAGGCACAACTTGTCCCTGAACGACTGCTTCGTGAAGGCAGGAAGGAGTGCCAACGGCAAGGGACACTACTGGGCCATACACCCTGCCAACGTGGAGGACTTCAAGAAGGGTGACTTTAGGCGCCGTAAGGCGCAAAGAAAGGTCCGTAGACACATGGGACTCTCGGTACCGGAGGAGGATGACAGTCCTACTCCGACACCCCCTCCAGCGGTCACAGCAGAAAGCCCGCAAGCAGCACTGTGCTGGGAGAACGGTCCAGCACTGACCGGGCTGTCCCACAAGCTCTCGGTTTCCATCAAGCGCCGCCAGTTCGACATGGAAAGCCTCCTTGCGCCAGACCCGTCCCCAGAGGACTCGCCACAACAACCACCTGGTGCCTGGTGCTCGCCGTGTCCACTAGTCGACTCCCTTCCACTTGCCGCTTCGACCTGGGCGCCCCAGCCGTCCACGTCTCTTCTGGCTATACATCAAGAGCGGCTGTCGTTGTTCAGAGCTCAGCACCAGGATCAAATTCTTCAGCGATGGTGCAGCGGACAGACTACAACGCAGCAGTCTCTGGCGTCTGTGTCTCCTGACATCGAGGGAAACAAGCTGAATTGTACACCACCTTAAACGTCAAGGGCCCTGTTAGGAACGGCATGTTGGGGAACTAGTCAAGTGTGTGAACTACAGCACTTCTCGCAACTGTATACAAGAATGGCTGCCTGGTGTGCTAACTGGGCTGGAGACTGTGTAGATTGTGTAGTTTCGCAACTGACGATGATGATGCACGAGCGTTGTTGCCAAGTGGCTGAACAGGGAACTGCAGTCAAGCGCACTTCTGCATCTTTGCAGCGTCTCTGAACAGTCGGGAGCTGCTCTGCGCTCAACTATACGCTGCGAGACAGAAAGAAAGTGTGCTGAAAAACCTGCCTACCAAACACAAGCAATATGTAAGTCATTGTTTCAATAAAATGTTTCGGCTTAGCCTATTTTCCTAAAACTGTTCTTATTACAATTCAGTTGTTTATCAATCGTAACTTATATCGCTAACATTCTTGATCATGTGCATGTTTTACACACAGTTAGCATCACAAGTACGACCAACATAAATGAACTTCAATGTCAGATTGTAAAAGGATGCTGAACATGAATCGATAATTTCTGTTGCACTAAACAGCATAACAAAAACCGCTGTTGCCATCAAAGTGAAATAAGTCACGCATTCCTTATCAATGTTCTCTAAATTTGTTTCCCCCCAGACAAAACCTTTCTTTTTTTCGTGTACTCAAAGCGTCGATTCAGGGCATCTTTGTAAAAACATTAACTGAAGGTAAAACACAGACTCGTTTCAAAGAGCTTTTGAAAACATTCTCAGTTCATTAAAGAGCAATCTAAATCGTCAGTTGCTGAATGTTTGCTATCAGTTTGGAAACTGTTGCCTTCTGTAAAAGGTGTGGTGTATATTTGTTAACAATAAATCTAGCAAGTAACCATTCAGGAATCAGATCTACTCACGCTTCAAGCTAATTCAAATATGCCATTGACAAAACAGAGCATTTATTGAACGTGTCCTGAACCTTTGGCGAAAGTTTGATTGCCGGAGCAAATACAAGGAAACCGGTGATTCACGGTTGTCATACATTTGATGAGACTAGAATATCGATATTAATTATATTAGTTATTTAACACGCATCGGGTAAATACTCTGCGGTCCCCCTTAAAGTATGTTATATTTTGAAATGACAAGAGTATCTAAAAATTGAGGCATACAAAATATTGGCCATTCCTGGAAAGGACTGAGTAGCGATATGGTCTGACATTACAAATACTATTATTTTATATTTTTCAGAAAACTTAGGGTGCGAATGAATAACAAGAGGGAAAAATGAAAGCTACCGGGTTATTAGAACAAGAATGAGAAAAGTAGGTCATCTTGGATCTATCCATTCGTTGTTATTTTTGTGTGTTTTTGTTTTTAGGTGTACGCATTGTCGGAACAGATTTAATACGGACAACTTACACATTAATTGTTTCTAAGACGTAAACAAACAAACAAACAAAAAAGAAAAAGAAACGCAGCTATGGTTTTATCTAAAATGATAACAAAACTTGATCTAGATTCATTCGATAAGAAATATAAAAGGTGATTGCCGTCCTGTTACCCGGGATCTCGAAGAAGGTTATCAATTATCAGAAGAAGACTTTAGGTAGAAAAGTGCAAAATAATATAATATCAACGCTTAAATTATAATATTATCACTGACAAAAAACAAGAAAGATGGCAATAAGCATTTACGCCTAAAGTAATGGAAGTTCAATCGGTAGCAAGAAGATATGACTTTTGGTGCTGGCTTCTTGGCTGGAGAAACGCGCGAAGCGGGTATCAAGTGTCAACAAAAAGCACTAAAGTTTTTAAGTAGCTAAGACGTTCACTATCGAAGGATTACATTTCAAGGAATCGCATTGCTTGCGTGCTCTTACAGAAGTTGCAAATAAGTTTTATATAGAAGGGCGTCAGGTATCAGCGATCAATATGCGTCTTCGTGTGTTTGCGGCAGACTTGTGCCCGTTTGGTGGAAAATGTAAGGGATTGCAATTAGGGTTGCGGTTAAACTTTTTAACCGGTAAATCGGTACAATTTTGACGAGCCAAAAGAAAGTAAGAATTACACGCTTTCACCACGCAGACGTGGGCGAGTACAAATGTACAAAGGGCAAACTTTTAGGTCGAAATGTAGCCTAAAGTAAACTGTAGGGGCAAGATTTATAGCTCATGACAAGGTGCAGAAGGTTACAGGTGTTTCCGACACTTCAGCGCTGTCCGATAGTGCGTTTAGCGCAGCAGAGGCTATTGTGAACAGGAGGTCGCTCTGGACAGAGAATATCAACGAACCCCTTTGCCTCGTGCAGCCGAAGTAACAATCTGCGAGTGTGTGCCTTTGAAGTTTGAACATGTTCTTAACTACATTTCGAGATTGACTCATAATCAAAATTGTATTTTGCACCCTTTACCACATAATTAACAACAAAAAGACATTGATTTTGGCTTTTCTTTAACATATTATGCATGGAGATGAACGATACCGATTAATCTATTAATTGATTGAAGAAAAGATGGCGATTGATCAATTAATTAATGGAATAAAAGGTGGCGATTAATCAGCTTAAAATTTTTAATCGACTCCCAGCCGTAATTACAATTGCAAAGTTCCGAGCCTCGAATGTAATGGATTACCAATACAAATTACTTTCGCTGAAAAGTAAATGATTACTTTATTCGTTACGTTACTAATTACTTTCACCTTACTTTTCCCCTACACTTATCAAGACAACAATATAAACAGTTTTGATGTTTACAAAGTTGCTCTGCAACACTAGTTTTCATTTTTCGTACGCCCGTACTATGGTAGTCCTTGTTGAAATAATATATTGTACATTTCGTTCACCTGTAAGATGACAATGTAGCGAAAGCTTCAACTACACCCGCCAATGATCCCTGGAATTCTGCGGACAAAGCTAGCGGTGCGCATGCTCAGTAGCAGCGTCTACCTCTGCTACGAGATTCAGAGGTAAGGAACCGATCCACGAAAGCTCTTTTCTTTAAAAAAACGGGCCTTTCAGGCGAGGGCGCAACGTCTCAAACCTGCGGTCTCGTGCCTGTAGCTTTGACGCGCTTTTGTCAGCTTACGCATGAACGGAGTATAGGGAGTATTCACTGGCGGCCATATCTGTGTGCGTGGTTGCTGAGCGCGCGTGCTGACGGCAAGCTTCCACAGTTCTTTTGCAACGTGCACTCCGCACCATCGAGAATGCCGGTCTTAGCAGCCTGTGAATGTAAGCTCGTTCTGAACATGCGCCCTAAACATCGCCCTCAAATATGGTGTCCTGTGAATGCCCCCTATAGTTGCGTGCAGTACTGAAAAATGCATGGTAGGGTGCGCTCGTTTTTGAGCTTTGGTCGAGCGGGTGGTCGCACAAGTGTTGCTCCAATTTGTGTATTTTTTTTTTACAAAAGTAACGAGTAATTAAAGTATTCTGTTACCAATTTTTTGTAACAAAATTACAATACAAATTACAAAAAGAAAAAAAAGGAACGTGGAAGTTACTAACTTACTCGAAAAATAACGGATTACTTTCCGAGTCTGGTTTGCGGCAACTGCTAACTTTAGAGGGTGCACTGGAAGACACGTATTAAGGGAGACACATGTAAGCTCAAAAACGTTTGTGTTTTGATGTATTTTGGGGAAGAAAAAAATGTAATTCTCGAACCCTCTTTGATATTTTACTCTTAATTTGCTGAACAAACAACGTATAGATGTTTTACCGAAGACAGCCTTATTTATATTTTTGTCTTTAACGAAACAATCAAGTTTTAATAACTGCACCGAAAAAAAAAACGATTAGTCCATGTTCAACTTAATTTCACAAAATGCATGTGTAGCAAAAATAGACAGCAAGAATCAAATAGACATTTTGGCCGATTGGGAGTTCATATTCATTAAGACACCAGTTATCTTTCTTAAAAATTTATATATATATATATATATATATATATATATATATATATATATATATATATATATATATATATATATATATATATATATATATATATATATATATATATATTAATAAATAAAAACTACTCAAGAAACAAAATAGGTGCAATGTTGGCTTATTTCCACCGCTCCTTGCTTTTTCGCGAGATTTTTTCAGTGGTTTGATGGGCTGAACTCGCACCCGTTTAAATTCAAACCTTGTCTGTCTCTTACCCATATTTGATTAACGCTTCTCCTAAACCACGTGTTCTCACAAAAATTTCTGGCCTGGAAATGTTTTTTTTTTTAAATTCTTTAATACATTTACCTTCACAATTGATTATACATGGAGTGCTACGAATTTTTTTAATCAATTGTGTGTCACCACACTAACCGATACTTTCTGTGGGTGTATGAATCGCACTATAATTCTTAGTTTGTTCTTGCCATGGTGGCCTAAAACAAACCGTTGATGTGAAAAAAAAAAAAAAACAATTTTCAATTTTCATCTGTTTAGAAACGCTGTTCCTACATGGCATCCATTGTGTGGTCCCCCCCCCCCCCCCCCCCTCATCTTATCCATTCCTACCGCGAAAGATGATTGCGATAGTGTTTGCCGCACTTTGATTAAACGATAAATCGAAACGTTTTCGAACCTTTTGTATTCATGAACCTAAAAGGCTGTGTTGAAAATGTCTCAACACGAATTTATTAATGCAATCTTCGCGTTCGCATTTATACGTTTCACTCGGTGATACGTTTCGGGGTTGGTGACGTCAAAAGCCGCCAGCGTTGCGAAGTACAAAAAAAAAAAAAGAAACCACCGAAGAAGGTGCGCCTTTTGCAATCTAAAGGGTTAACCATCTGTAAAACTGAAAACAATGTAACCTTTTTTTCCTCCTCCGCAACTGTTTTACATGAATGATCGTCGCAAGTGCACTCTTGTTTTTTTTTTGTTTTTTTTTTTTTTACTTTTTTTTTTAGACGCGAAGGGTCCTTATCGAAACTATTATTTGCGTTATGGGAAGTGTAGGCTTCTTTACAGCACGAGTCTTAATGACTGGACTGATTAAAAGAAAGCCGATGTTTGGTG